ACTATAGATTTTCAGTATTGTTAGCGCATTTCGGAACACATCGTAAGAATGCTAACATTAAAGGTGTTAAGAATACAGAGGTTCGTCTGTAATATTATATTATATCTTACATTAGTACGTTTGATCATCGTCAATTAAGCTAAGCGTCATTCTCTCTGCTTGGCCAAAGTGTGTTCGCCGGCGACACATTCTATTACCTATCTAAGATATAAGAAAGAGAAAAGAATAATGAAGATAAGTGTATATGGCCGCTGCATATGATCGCGAAGCGATCGTAATCTACTTCCCCCATAGAGGAGTGCTTTCAAGAGCTATCACACGTGAGAGGAGATGAAGTATAGTCGGAGACGAACCATCGTTGGTATCCTTTTCTTTTATGTCGTGCCTTCGAATATCCCCGAATTAGCGACTCTCTTCCTCTTTCTCCCTTCGGGAGAAAAATTCTTTTATCCTTTAGACGTTCCCGCCCGTTTATTACAGCTAATCTGTTTGATTTCGTTTGTTTCACTATAGTCAGGTAACATTCACGACTTCGTAAGAATTTTCGGATCTACTTATCTGCGTTATCCTTGTCTTTACGGAAAAGATCAGATAATTGTTTGATTGCGATACAAACGATTGCGTCTTAAAAATGTTTGCTCGAAAACATTTTCGGAAACATTTGTGAGACAAGATTCGAGTCTACTGTGGATTCGATTTTTAGCACGAATGTCGTCACCTATTGGAAAGTTTCGTTGTCGCTCATACCAGCGATGGGAGATCTCTCGGAGATCGTTGTGCGTCATTCTACGAGGTGCCCTTATAGTGAATGAAGAAGAAAGTGAGGAACATGAAATAGGCGACTGGGAAAGTGATCCTGGCTATCACGTCGATCGTCTTCGCCACTCTAATCGGATGCGGCGGATCCTTTTTTCTTAGCTGTAAAAAAAAAAGGATTTTATTATCACGATCGAACTTCAGACTTTGAAAAGTTCCTGTCGAACATATAAATTGCATGTAACATTATAAGATTCTGTAACAAGGCAGAAGAATTATAAGGGCGGAGAGCTATTGGATTCTCGTTGTTACATAAGATTATTTTTTTATAACATTCTTATTAACTTCAGACATTTTCTAAAAATTAATGGAAAGATTGCCTACGTATGTAATGACATTTTGTATGTAATATTAATCGAATATATTTCAAATTAACTAAAGTTTATTTAAAGATATTTTTAAATTCTTTGAAAAAAGAAGGTGTGATGATATCTTTGATATGATAGATTATAATTATTATACATAATGTTTGCTTACCTCGGCGGTGCAACCGTTCGTTGCTGTATGCGTGCAGGGATTAGGTCCGCAGTTGGTGCAAGTGACAATCTCGTTCGCTCCAGTAGTACCACCGGTAGTAGCTCCGCCCTCCCGCTTCTTTTTACCCTACGACAGGGTCTCCGTAGAAGAAACTCATATTCTTAATTACATATCATTTTTATATCTTAAACAACGATCCACCCTTTCGTTTCGCCCCCTTTCACGCCCTTTCTCTCTTTAGATTCCCTCCTTCCCGCGCCCTCTTCTTTGGATCATCTTTCAAAAATTTTTCACGCATGCATTGACGGTCTTTGATTTTTCACATTCTTTATCACATACGAGGTTTGTTCAAAAAGTTTCCGAACTTTGCTTATATATAATCTTGTGGAGTTTATAACTTATTCAGCTTTGGTCCTTTCGAAATACTCTTCTTGGTTGATATATTTTTCCCACCGTCGTTCCCACTTCTGGAAGTAGAAGTAGAAGTGTAGGTATCAATCAAAAAGGAGAATATTTCGGAGACAGGGCTGAATAAGTTATAAATAAACTGGAAAAAATTATACAGGCAAAGTTCGGAAACTTTTTAAACAGACCTCGTATCTATTGATTCCTTCATCAATTTTATATACATAGAAGCAAATACGGCCCAAACGATTGATGGAAACAGAAATATTACGATACTTTTGATACGCGGCATAACGTTGCGTTATCACAGCACAAAGTAATCTACCTTCTAGAAAGATACTTGGTGATGAATAGATAATCGGTGGCGCGGCTTCTTATAAGCGTAACTAATAATAACGTAAGCGTACTAGGCTTTGTTAAGAAAAGGCAATTAAGCTTGCACGTAAAGGCATGTGAAATTTTCGGAAAAAAACGCACCGGAGAGAAATATATAATAATAAAATTATTATTTTCATATTATAAGTGGATGAAAAACGATATTTGCGCGCTAATTTAGCGGAGGCGTCTCGCTGGCGATTATTTTAAAACCGTTTTAAAACAGTGCCGAGTATCCTCGATCGTGAATTGAGGATATGGAGAAAAGTTGCTAGAAATAGCGAGTTGTCTCGTCTGATTAAATACAAAAGAAGCGCATTTGTCCCACTTCTGATGGATGAACTAGATACAATTGCAGTCTCTGACATGTCAAGGACTGCCTGGGATGAATGACGTCATATGACATGGCGTGAATTGGGGAAAGACATGAATTAAACAGTGAAAATACGCGGAGATTGGTAACCCGCTGCGAAAATGATCAAAGAGTGAATCGTTGCTTTTTATAATATTTTTGTTCTTCAACATACACATGTTTATCAATCAACACTTCTTTTGTGTTTCTATAACATGAATTAGATGCCTTATAAACATCTACTTATCATATTCCGATGTAGAACATAAATAAAGGTTTATTCTAATCAATTTGTTAATTTATTATCGCAGAAAATAATGCATGCACTTTCCCGCGAATTCTGTTTTTGTCATTATACATTCAATCGTAAAATAACTCGGATCCAATACGATTTTCCGACCGAATGTCGCGTAATTCGGGATATTAGAATCATGATTCAATTAGTTCTTTTTTTTACATTTGGTACGTTTGAATTTGTATATGATATACAATATTTATATGTATTGTATATTTGTAAATATAATAAATGATAATTTCGATAAGATACCTTTTTTGAACGTATAAGTACCGTTCACAAAATAAATTGAATGCTGCCGACTAGAGAGCCTCTTTGCGATTTTCTCGAAGTTTTATGGGAGGAGAAAGATGATGTGAAAGAAGTACAGTGTTGTTTATTATGTTTATTGAAATTTGTATAGCTAATGTAAAGAAATATAAGCTCAATTAGATCAAAACATATTTATATATATTCCTAAATTTAAAAATAATAATTTACAATGTTATAAACACTGACTTACTTCTCAGCATATCTTTCTCCGTGATCTCGCTTGAAAACGTTTGCGATAAACTATAAATTTTCAAACGGATCCCCGCACCGCCTTATTGCGTCTTGAAAGGTATTTTATTACAAGCTATGCGTTAAGCTTCAATGAAGATTAGTTCAATGGTAAAAGCGATTTGTTGATACCACAATTAAGGCATGACATGTGTGTGTATGTATATGTGAGCGCGTGCGTGCGCGCGCGCGTATGCGTATTGGTTTGTGTATATGTATAAGTATAGAGGATTATCCATATTAGAAACACCAGTGGTTTTAATATTTCTCAACCTCTCTTTTTCTCTCCGTTCATTTATTTTACTTCACGTCTTCCTTTTTCACTCTCCTCTTGCTCCTTCATATCTAATAATACAAATAAATGGATTGGAAAGAAATTATTCTATATAGAAGAAAATAGGTATTGTGATTATAGTGAAGTATTCAATTAAATGTTTTTTGAGTATTTTATCAATGTTTTTCCTTTAACATATTAATTGACTGGAGATGTGCGTGAATTCACTTTGGATTCCACAACTTCTGTTTTAAAATATTTATTTGTATTATTAGAAACAACGAAAATATTAAGGTAGTCTGTTTCTAATGGATTACCCTGTATGCGTATAGAAAATCTAGTAATGTATGGGATCCATTTCAGGAATGGATTCTGCTCTTGGAAATAATAAAAAATTCATATACAAATATACGCTCCATTTGGCTCAATTTCCAAGTTATAGTGAGTTTTTATTCTGACAACTTTGCATCGTCTCATCTTCATAATATATTCAAAATGACTATTTTGCACTTTAATGCAAACATCTCATTTTTACTCTCTCAACACTTCCGTCTGGATTTACTGGAAACTTTGTTCATTTCTCTGACGGTGTATTTTAATATCATTGATTCCAACAAATCCGAAATATCTGGAAGTATCGAGGGAGCAAGAAAGTCGATAACAAAATGTTTATAAACGTATTTACATCTACTTTGAGATGCATGATATTTTGATCACTTCTCATAAAGGAAAGCAAATAATTGTCAGAACACTAAATTTACTATAACTTGGAGCAAGTTCGAATAAGTTCAAATTTATATAAACTTTTTTATTTTTAAGCTAAATTGCTCTTCGAGAAGTGGGCCCCACATAGTCTAGGATTTTTCCCCCTTCCTTCTGTATAGGTAAGTATGTGGTTTTTTGTCAAACGACGTGATAATTTTTAATTAATTACATACTTATCAATTCTCGCAATAGCTATCGTGATTTCAAATTTCGAGCAATTGGATGAGTAACTTGCCTATTCTTACGCATTTGTGATTTTTGCGTCAATAAAAGAAAGAATCCTCTTGCATAATGAAAATAACAAAAGTCATTGTTCTACTTCACTCTATTCGAAATTAATTATCATCTCTCATGATGAGAGCTATAATAGATGTCGAACGCAGAAAGCATTTGGGATAATAATATATCAACGTGACGATAATTATCATTACTTTTGATTTCTCTCTTTCAGTAGCATATTATTATTTCAAAGCTTTTCTATTTCGAAAATGTCTGTAAATAATGATATAACATTTTTAACACGCCAGCGGCCATGATGTTTCCATTCAGAAGAAACCTCATATACATTTGTGATGCTATAACACTGGTTAGTAAAAATAAGAAAAATATAAACGAAAATATATGGGCTCATAACAATATTTTACTAGGTATATGTATAGAGATCTGTAATATACCACAAAAATATTACTTCGCGCGAAAAATCCTGGTCGCTGGTGATCAAGCGGAAGCGATTAGAACGTCCGAAAAAATATATCGGCACTTCTTAATGAATGCCAAAAAAAAAATTGATTTACGCATCGTGATATCAGAAATAAGTATTAAAATATTAGCAAATGAGTTAATAAAAATAATAATAGATTTTATCGCCTTTCTTTTTAAGTTAATAAAGTTACTAGTTGAAAATTAAACGAAAACACGAGAAAATTGATTCTATAATTAGCTATTCAAAACGCAAAATTTCAATACGGCGTTAATAACGCTTTATAAAATGTAGGAAACAGTTGAATTTTATCGAAGCGATTAAAAAATGATTAAGCGCATTTTTTTTGTCATTACGCAAGTTACACGAAGATGAAGATATTCTGTTCTTTTATCTTTGCTAAGAAAATATCGAAATATCAGAAAATAGCATCAAGTAAAATTACAACATGCACTCATGCACATACACAATGCATTCTCACGCATTTCATGCGTTATACATACATTTTAACGATTCTCCGTCATGAATATAAAACGTAGATTAAGTACAAAAGGGATGAGAGCAGAGATAAACGAAGATGAAAAGAAAATCTTTGTATAACGAGATCGTATTCCTTATTTTGTATAAATGCACAGTAATTTGCGAAATTTTATAAAGCAGAGGCGACTCGATTCAATTAGATTATGATGTCGGATGCGATTTGACTTGCTTTTCATACGTTCATTACGAAACAAAAAAGTAATTATTTCTCTTCATTCTGTGCATTTATATATATATGACATGCATGCACTTGCATCGCTAACGCAGAGAGCATGCATTTATCTTGTGTCGAAAGAAAGAAATAGAGATAAAAATTAAAGAATAAAAATACGTGATCAAAGAGCACACAAGAGGAAAAAATAACTTGGTCAAATACTAAAAAAGTACCAGGGGAAATATTTATGTGGAAGTGTTTTGTCTTACAAGTCTCCTCTTGTTGAGGAAAATTTGGCAATTTTTAAACATCTGTACACGCGAAGGTTTATTGTCATTTTTCATAACTATGTTCGGATATATATTTTTTGTTTTGTATCTCTTTCTACACATCTCGGCTATTTCATATTTCCTATTGCTTTAGAGAGCTGCAGAGATATAACATTTCTGATTGTAAAAATTGAAATGCTCTTTTAACTTTAAAAGTCAATACCAAATGTTTTTTAGATCGTTGATTATTAACTTATATAAATAGATTGCGCCCTCGTATGCAATAGCTGACGACTACATTAAAAGATAAAAATATGCGTGGTCAGATGCTTTTTGCGTCACACAATGCAGTAGATGACAGGGAGCGAGAAAGAAAATAACACGTCTCTTTTTAAAAAGAAGAAAAGCGATTACTCTTTTCCTCTTTTCTTTTTGTCCGGTAATTGTGTAATCAGATCAAGGATTTCTAATTCCTCGTATTTTAGAGAGATGACGGAAATTTGATAAATTCATAAGACCAGGGCGTGAGGCAGTGTAACATCATTAGTTTATTCTCCCTATTATTACTTATCTGCTTTCCTTCATATTGGTAACGACAGTTGCTTAATTAATTCAAGCTGGTTGCTTGGCCGGTGTATTGATTTAAAGTCTAATTACAGTTTTGCAAATTAGATCAGCAATATTCTTCTATTTTAAAAGTCATCTATTTGTATGTTATTCCACACATACGCGGATTTCAATATATAACTACTTCTATCCTTCTTTATTCTTCATCATATGAGATCCATTTTAGTTCGTCACTTCTAAGCTATGATCATGATAGCGCTGAAAATTGTCCTCTTTTTTCAAGAAGAATCTTCTAAACTGGACAAAAGGCCTTTCTTTATATCTAAGTGCACTACGTTGCACTTTCTGCATTTAAAATGAAATAAGCGTATAATTAGACGTTGGAGAGAAAGGAAAAAGAGTGAAAATTGTAAATAGTTCAGCTATAAGAAAAAACTAATGTCCATTTCTACCAATGTAGATTAACTTTAATCTCGGTTTAACTTACTCTAGTTCTAAGAATTAGAAAAAGATGAAAAGTAAGCTAAACGGAGATTGAAGTTAATCTGCATTGATAGAAATCGACATAAGGAAAGCATCTGACTCACTATTGTTTCTTACTAATGCTATCTTCACGCCTTCAATGGAAATTGGCACAATCTATTTGCATAATCTATGTTGATTATTCTTAAGAATAAGATCAAAAGATTCAAAATGGCACATTTTGTAGCGACTAATACTCAGTTAATTTTTATGTACACACAGTATGGCTACAAAATTGTTTTATTAATTGTTTTTAATTATAAAAATACATTTTTATTTGATGTTTAACGTAGAATTGTCTTGATGCTTTAAACCATTTCTATTGTTCTAACATAAAGAAGACGTCTTAAACATTTCTTTTAAAATCTCCTTCAGTTTCTCAATTACACCTTCTTACAGTTTCCAAGTATTGAAATCTTTCTTCTATCCATAATTCCATTTTGGGGGAAAATCTGTATGCGGCTAGTAAAAAATCGGTCATTACACGAATTATTTTTAACGGTACGTTTCTCTACTCTTTTCTTTATTTCTCTTAGATCATTCAAAACCTTTAGATCGGAAATGTTCATTACTATAATTTTCCTCATCAGCTCATATACTTTAACAGCACTTTTTTCTAATCTAAAACACAAACTTTTATCATCATTTTTATTGTAACTGTGAAATCATGCGTGAATAAAAGTTGTTTGTTGCAATTCGTTGCCGAATATGAACAGTTTAATGGAATGAGACAAATTTAGTTGGTCTTGTTTCATACTAATGAGTTTCGTTGATTGCATATAAATAGCACTCGTACTGTTTGTTGATGAGGATAGTAATCGTATTAAATGCATTTAAATACCAAATCATGCTAACTCACCGATCGGAGAATTATTTTTCGGAGAATTTAAGAGGCCGTTAATATTAATTATCCAATAAAAAGTATAAAATAATTGTGCAATGCGGTATAGATATCCGATAACGAGAATGCTTAGATGAATAATAAATGTCGTTAAACAAATCATAATTTTATTTAAAATGTTTGAGAAAAAATTTCTGAAGTTCAGAGAACTGTTCCAAATAAGAAGAGGAAATATGATAAAAAGAGGAAATATTCTAAAAAATTAAACATTATATTATTATATAGATATATTTATTGGTCAAGAGTTTGGCTCGAGGTAATTTAAAGAATACTTCTTAAATGGAATGACGTAGCATTAGCTAAAGCTCGAATGTATTTTCGAGACTTTCTTATTTTTAGTAAAAAAAATTTTTGTAGCCACACTGTATGTATATATATTACATGCATGTATGTATAAAACTTTATATCTATAGATTTTTGATAGATTTTGTTACTGACCATATGAATTTGAAGTCGAAGTTATAAATTTTAAAATCGCAAATTTAATAGGTATCTTATTAACTATTAGCAAATGGGACACACTACGTGTTTGTGTTTGTGTGTGTGTACGCGCTTGTGTGTGATTAGTAATTATCTTAAAGTTTATAAATATCAAAGTTGATACAAATCAATCAACACAAATCAATCAATAATTATACGTTTGAATACATGCAAAATTATCTACTTCGCAGCTATATTGGATTCGCTTTGAATTCGTAATAAATAACATCAAAGTCTATAAAATTGATTTGTATATGATTCAAGAAATCTTATCCATATAAAATTATTTTAAAAAAAGTATAATATTTTGCGACAAGTTATAAATTAAATATATGCACTCCTCAAAGCAGATTTTTATGACTTCAAAAAAGCATCCTGCAGCCCTTTAAAGATTAACTCGGCATATAAATGCAAATATTAGTGTTATCAATATTTTCGATAATACAGATACGAAAATATCAATCCTACACAACTAGGTAATTGTGTTATAGTGTTTTATGTTTCATGAGTAATAATTGCAATGACATATAATTGTGGAAGCATCGGAAATTTTTTTTTATATGCACGAAAATGGATACTGTCTTTAATACCATGAATATTAAAACAAATATTTTCATACACAATCTTTTCCAGTTTCGTCAGTTTTATAAAAATTAATTTTCTTTGCAAAATTTCTACTTTTTGATTCTGTATGTTGCTTATGATGTCGAATTTTATAGAGATGAATCATGAAATTCAACTAGAATTGGGTAATCAATATGTTTGTGTAACTCGGTTATTTTTTATTATCGATATTACTCCAAATATAAGTAATAATTTAAAGTAAATAATATAATAATTAAAAATTAAATTATACAACTTCTTTGATATCTAATTGTTTTGTTATTAATTGTTCAAGGTAAATTTGCACAGACATCTTTTTCTTACAAAGATGTGTAAGAAAATTTGATTTTTGTTAGTGGAAATTAAAATATAGTTTTTCAAATCGTACATACATATACTTTTATTTAATCTTTAAGAAAAATAATAATTAGAATAATCTTAAGAAAAATTTATGCAATTTTAGTGTAATTGACATGTAAATTTATTATGTAACTCCAGTAATCACATATAATTCAGAAATAACGAGAAAATTACATATATGCTTATTCAAATTTTCTATTATTATTAAAAAATTCAGTTGTATAGAACTCTATACAACTTAAGCTTCACGCTTATTTGACAGCGACATACGACTGGTTTTGGAATCGACTTTACAAATAATTTAATAATGTGCTTATAACGTAATCTAAAAAATCTATAAAATCTATAAAAATACTTCTGTAAAAATATTCGATGAAATTTTAATAGTCGATTCTTCTTTAGCAGAATAAAACTTGAATAAACATCAGTATCAAAAATTGGAAAAGATTCAGATAATAAAAAAATAATCGAGTACTCGAATATGAACATATCGATTATTTACCTTTGATTCTATTCAGTCTTATCAATTAGTCTAATCAAATCGATAATCAATTAATCTAATTAATTAGTACAATTAAGTATAATCGAACTTCAGTTGTGCTTCGCAAATACCCGTACATTCCTATACAATATAATGCTGCAGATATAAAGGATATGTGGCCTATGAGATGATAATAAAATCAAACGTCTATATTTGTACATGTGTGTATCTGTGATTTGTACATGATGTGTGTATGCTATAGCTGCGATTCGTTTGGTGCTACAAATGCTGCGAACCGTAGATTTCTTTATCCTGATTAATCAATCAAACGCTTCGAATGATTCGTAGCACTCAGTGGACCGCAGTCTATATCCTGCATCTGTAGATTTCTAGGACGCGGTTAAGACCTTGCACGTCCATTGTTCTGTTATTTCGTTTCTTTTTCTCTGTAATAAATCATTGCTGATGTTGTCACATATGTGAAATCATTATACATGTGCCATAGTATACATTTCCTTTTAGATAATCATATATTATCTTTTTGTCGGATTTCTCTTTCCCCCGCAATATTTCGATAAATCGAGAGAGGAGATTTTGCAATTCGGATTTTTCGCAAAAGCTAAGAACGCGCGAAGTCATGACCGCGCCCTAATGCAATGGGGGGTCTTACCAAGGGGCTGGCCAATATAATTCCTATCCTGCTGAGCACCGCTGGAAGCCGCTGTAACATCACAGACACCAAACAAAGAGACTTACTCACCAACATTTCCACCAACCAAATTCTTACTAATCGTGTTTATAACAGAAATAGACAAATATGAAGAGAAAAAGAGAGTGTGAGAGAGGGGTAGAAGAGAAGCGAGAAAGAGAGGAAGAAGAAACGGAGGAAAAGAGGGTGTGAAAAAGAAGGGAGGAAAAAGGAGAAAGAGAGAGGAAGATAGAGGGAAGAAAGGAAAGAGAAAGCTGAGAGAGAAGAAATCGAGGTCATAATCGATGGAAGAAAATAGACGAGTTTAATGATGGAGACATGCATATTGCAGCCCCTTTCGAAAATAATGAGCACTTTCGAAGGAATAGCGCGCTATTTATGCCAGTGGTGCTCAAACTTGCAGCATGCCGAGCTATCTGCTTAAGATATAGGTAAGTCTTCTTTCCCCTTTTTTAAGATAATTCTGTCAAACAGCTATAGATGCCTTCGTGCATTAAATACAAAGTATTGGCGTATAACAATTATGTGATTGAACACGTGTTGTTGATATGATACATGTTAATTATATCGAATGTGTCTCGAGGATCGATTGATTATTATTAACGATAAAGATGCGGCATAATCCGCGCGATTCTTTCGTAGCTTACGAGGAGTATTGGTCGAAATTTGGTAAAAAAAATACACTCACACTCTCTGGAAAAAAATACGAATAAAAACCTATATAGATTTAGAAATCTCGAGAAAGATGCAGAGAGAAGAAATTATATTTTGTGTTTGTGCAAGGTCACGCCACAAAATTCTTGTGTGCAAAAAATATAAACGCGATAAAAGAACAAACGGTGTGTCAAACGAGTATCGAACATCACAGAAAATTTGTTTCTGAAAAGAAACTTAGAATGCACAGATCTCAGAATGCATCATAGCATAAACGACTATTTTTCGTACAGATAATTTGATTGTAATTACTAATATAATCTTAAGAATAACGAATTTGTGGAATTCAAGGCGTTTCATCGTGTTCCCATTATCGCGATCTTCGATTGCAACTTGCGATGCGCGAGACAATACGAAAGACCAGCCGTATGATGAATAGGATTCCGATTTTTAATATGTATGTTTACCTGGCATTTATCCCATTCCATTCTCGAGATATAAAATTATTTTATCTCGCCGCAATATCTTCTTGCGAATTATACCTTCGATGAAATTAGAGAGATGATCGCGCGCGACTGTGTGGTTTCATAAGTTAAATTCAATATAATAAGTTCTTGTGGACTCTATAGAGTTTCAATTTACTTCTCTGGTGAAGAGAAGATTGTCTCCTTAATAAAATCATATTGATTATCCTTATCTAACATCAGTAATATCGTCGCCTATTTACGTGTCGCAAGATCACAACTTGTGGACATTAATTAATGTCAGGTGTCTTTTTAAGTCAATTTATGAGCGTAAACGCAAGGAATTTATATTTATTTCTGAAAAACAATGACGATTAATATTCAAGCTTAATTGTCGATATCAGCAAATAGAACGATTAATGATTCCTTTGCAAAATACAATTCAATTTGTTTACCTTGCAAGAAATAATGGCTCGTTATTAGGACCGGTTTAAAATAAAATATAATGCCATGATATATCTAGTTGTATAATTAACTGTAATCATGTGCGTATGCGCGTGTAATTGGATAAATATAATTAGTCTGAAAAGTTTACACGAGAGAATCACATTTTCACAGATTATTTTATTATAAACGACTAATTGGCTTTTAAACCGATCCCAAATGTTACATGTCTAAAAAAACAATTTATATCAATTTATGTCACAGTTAATTTGTATTAATTACGCGAAAAAGGCAGTACGGCCCCATTCGAATTCGCATCGCCGAATATCCGCGATGAAAGTGCGCGGCTTACGCGCGTCATGCGTCGGATAAAATTATCGAGAATACATCAATCAGCAAAGTACCTGGGTGACGGGATTCTCGCCCGGACGATAGACAACGTTGTGCATTGGCCGTTTGCGGCCGACGTAATTCACGCAGACGAACTCGAGAAGACTCGCGTAGATGAAGCACATGCACACGCCATCCCACACGTTCATGGCAGTCAAGTTCGAAACGACGGGCAGCGTTCCCCGGAAGCCATTCGACGTGGTGAAAAAATTGAGCATCGTTGTTACACCTGAAGTATAATTGAAAACAGCGATTTTACTCTTCCATGTCAGAAGCTGTGCGTGCTCATTGTGATTCAAATGCAAAACATTTGAATCTCAATCTGATCGTATGAGTAGACACAAAATATATACTATAGAAAATCAGAACATTTTATAAATTAAAAAAATTTGTGAAATAAGTTTCTTATTGACCTTCTAAAACAGATGTGTGATGAGATGTGATTAAATACAAAAATAAACGTATAAGAAATTTTTAAGTTAAGAAATTTTTATAGAAATTATTTAACATTGTTTAAATAATAAAATTTTCGTTGAAATAACATTTTGAAGGCATAGTTACTTTCGAGGCTTGATAAAGTGCGTAAACTTGACATACGAGATCTGTTCAAAATATTTACCGAACCTATTTGTTTGCGCGCTAATTTGAAAAAATGTCAAGGCTAGTAGTTGGTGTCACATGAAAAAGGGATCTTTATTTTAAAAATAGACACCACGTGCAACGATTTATCGTTTTATTTTTTATGTTTGTTTCGAGCGTGTGAGGTGTCGTGCAAAGAATGACCGATTTTCACGCGCGCACATGTGTTTGGGAGCTTTTCAGCAAGCGACAAATGTCATTCTATTTTTCTTTTTTGGCAATGAATATAAAGACAAAACGACACTTGTGTCGATTTGTGTCGCTTGCTGGAAAGCTCCCTATTCGTGTCTGTGTAAACGTGTTTAAAGAGTCATGAAATTACATTTTACTATGTAGACTCACCAATCATCACTCGCGCCGGCACGGCATTCCATTCGAGCCAAAATGTGATGAAAGAGCTGGTTACTAGAATAATGCCCGGGATGAAAACCGTAGTGAAATAGAAGGAACGATCTCGCGTGAAGATCAGATCCACCTTCAAGCAGCTGTAATTACCTAAGTCAAGCATAATTACCTGAGTCAACCTCATTTTCCATGCTCGAGCAAGAATCAAATGGAGATTCGTATTTTCGGGGAACAAGAAGAAAGTACTTTGATAGTACTTTGAAATTGATTCGAATAGAGACCATTAACGGATATTCAAATAATTATTACGGATTGTAACACTTAAATATTCTTATTTCTCATTCATTATTCATTAAGAATTAGTTTATAATTAATAATGCTTGTGAGTATTTCACACTTGAAACATTTATAAAAATGCATATTTACGTTTTTTTTGTAACAAAAATACACATTGGAATAATTAAAAAAGTGAAATAATGCTTAGTTTTTGTGTTAGGAGTGACATAGTTTATTCAAAGATATAGCCTCCTCGGAAAAAAAAGATAAAAAAACATCACATACAATCATTGGCCATTAAACGTCCCATTCGCGAAAGCAGTTGAGGTATTTGTACAAAGTGCTAACATGTGGGCATTAAAAGAGGATTTATTAGAAGGTTCGCAGGCATGAAGGACACATCTACGCAAATAACTCTACATTCAATATAACTTCTCACGTTGAACTTCTTGAACGTTAAACACAAGGAACATTTATTCAATAATTATATGATATGAACGATTCATGCCGGTGACATTCAATCATTATTCTTTATACTTTATTACTTTGAAGGTCCCGTCTCGTTAGGATTTCTCTTGGGGACTGATTTCAAGTAAAGTCCTTTTATTTTATTAGATATTTGATAGCAGATAAATAAAAAAATTAAGTGTAAAAGACACTGTGCAAATAAAAATATGACAAAAAGCGAAGCTTATATGTATACTAAATCATAAAAGAAATAACAATGTAAAATTGTTCGGTATATAATTTATTTAAACACTATGTCAACTTTCCTCATTATGTTCAATTGCACTCCATAAACAACTACTCATAAATATATGTTCACCAGTAGAATTTTTATAATCTTATAATTTTTATATAATTTTTACAATCTTTTATTCTACAATAGGTAATTTTATTTTAAAAAGTTTTATATATAGTTATATCATATTAGATTAGTTATATATCTGTTGACTTTGTTTGAAAATCAAAAGACTGTTTAAATATCTTTCAAATATGATATTGTTTCTTAAAAAATTTGAAACAACATGAATAAACAAATATTTACAAGTAGTGTAACAATAATTCTATAATGCTACAATATAAGCTTATTACAATAAATAAGCGTCACTATATAAATAATATAAATACAAGGTAAACAAAATTGTAAAATAAAAATGTATTTTGCAATAGAAAAATCTCTCTGCAATATTTGTATTTAAATAACGTAATTAAATCAATACACGCTACGCTCAATATACGCATTGGGGAAGATAAATTATTGCTTCAGCATTTGCAACGCTCTAGCTACGAAATTTGGCAACGCTCATTCTTACGGTCTCCAATTAAGTGGCAATTTTATCGCAATATTGCGCAAATCATATACTATATACGAAGCAAACATCGATTATCTACTTGGGATATCTTTTGGCATTTTGAATTTTGGTAAACTTGGTCTCCTGTCTCTCTCTCCCTCATTTATTCACCTTCGAATTGCTTTACGCGTTACACTCATACCGATGAGAGAGATAGATTTTTACCTTGCTCCTCAAATCTGCGCTGGCACAGCGAGCACTTAGAGTCTCCAAAATCATCGAACTCGTCCTCGTCAACCACGGTCTTTCCGTCAGCTGCAACAGAACAGCCCACGATCTTTTCCTTCCTATCTGTTCTCTGTCTTTTCTTTCCGTATTTATCCAGTTTCTGTGTGTCGAAAGGAGAAACAAATTTTCACAGAGCCGGGAAAGTAAGCTCTAAACTCTTAAGATCATAAGGAGAGTTTGATCTATTCATCGAACTAAGCTTATATATTTTTTCTCATTATCTATACATTTTACAAGTCACTTTTTAAAAAGCTATTTGCTTCATTTTGCATCGCCTTAATGAATTTGCGATAATTTTTTATTGTATGACGAATGATAATATACAGAATGATAAGGAATAATAAATTTAATAACAACGTTGAAGGATGTAGTTCAAATTAACATTAAAATAGAATTAGTAATTGTCTCAGGTAACACAAAGTTTATCAAAGTTTGAAGAGAATTGAAAAACTAGATAATTTTAAAATTAAAATCTATCCATATCGTATCAGATCATTAATTACTTGGTCCATTTGTAATCGTATTATTTTTGTCATGTAATTTCAGCTGTGTTTGTATATGTTCAACTTTTCTTGTTAATTGTAAAAACAATATCATTGTTTTATTCTAAATAAATCAAGCATAACCTACTTTCCGCCATGGTTAACTCTTTTAGGGCGAATTAAAAAATAAGATATTAGTTACTGGATTGATATTTAAGTATTTAATAACAATTTCTCATTTTTATGTTTATAAACACGCTTGTTGTATATATGCTATAATCAAATTAAAAATCTGTGCCATGTATGACAAATATGATAATATTGTAAGTTAACAAACTGTGATGTATTTCAATAAAAATTTACTTCTTTTGTCGATTCTTTATTCTAAAAAAGATGATATTTATTTTCCATAACTTTTTAAAATAATAGCGGCTTCTAAAATACTCCATTACGTTACAATTATGAAAAAATTGAAAGTTTAAATATTCTTCAGATTGTTGAGTGTAAATCTAGTATTAAATAGCGAATATAGTATAATAATATACAAATATAATATAACAAATTCCAAAGATGTCTATTTATAACAATTCTTACATATTCTTATTTTTAATCGAGACTCAATATTTGATCAGGGAAATCATACTAGCCTTAATCTTCAGAATCCATTTTTTAGAATTAAAAATTTAAACAATTCGTTTAATTTTAAACAAAATAATTCTTTTCAGTCTGCAACATATAGTATGTCACAGTTTTACATTAATCTTGTTTCTGAAAATGATATCTATATATGGAAAAAATATATACATATATAACCAAACATGCTGCATAGTTTCGCGCATCAAAGTCGAAAACCTTTCGTCGCATTTGGACGACTAAGAAGCGATTTAAAATTATTAGCTTACAAAGTTAATATTTTCTCTACACATGTAAATCCTATGTTCTATGTTAGCGGAAGCCATCGTTAACGAATAAAATTCTGTCTAGTACAACAAAATAATTCTATTTTTATTTGGCACAGTAAATAAACGCGAAACACGATGAGCTTCACAATTTCTTCAGATTTCTTCACGGTAATTGTCGATACCGCAAACGGATCGATTATAAGCGCGAGAAGGTAAAGGAGAGGGGATGCTCTTCAAGGACGCCCGATGAAGAGTTGTCGTAAGAAAGAAAGCCTCACCCCAAAAGCAAACCACGGCGTTTTAGTTGAAAAGCGAGACAGGATCCAAGGTTGCCAATATGCATTTTCTAGGATAATCTAGAAAATCTACTATCGTACACATGTGTGTACATTGTCAAAATAGGAATACTATGACATTACTAATAAATGGGGTAAGAGATGCAGTTATTTGATTACCGCTATGTCGCATGCACAAATGATTTCTATACATAATTATAATATGTATAGAATTTTATATACATAACATGTATAGTATACATGTGTAATATATGTGTATACTGTACAATATATATGTGCTGGTACATCATTTTGTGCGTAATATGTTAATTTTCAATTTTTTAATTCGTACTCTCAGCAAAAAGAAAAAGAGAAAGAAACAAATTTTATAAAGAAATGTACATATATAAAAAGATATAACATTTCCAAGAAAGGTATTAAATATAGATGTATTATCTAAAAATTAATTCATGGTGTATCTTTCCAAAATAAAAGCAATAAAGAATATTAATTTAACATTTAACACCACATATAATTTGCATACATGCTGTGTAAATTTTATATAAATATGTATATATATACTTAATATGTAATTACTCCAATTTGAAATAAGAGAATGTACGATTACTTTAGGATAAGAAAGAAAGATTTTATATTGGAACAAAACTGTATCTCCACAAAATACTTTTTTAATTAATTAAGAAAAAGTAAAGAAATATAAGCGCGATATTTACACCAGCTGCGCTTTAATCTCGCTCAAAATATTAAAAAATTAAGCGTGTCACATTCCTTAAACTGATATGAAAAGACAACATGGATTATGCTATTATATAATTTTCATACATGCAAACTTACCTTCTTTTTTAATTTTTTATTAAAGATAAATTTTGCCAAATATCATAATATATTAATCATTAAAAAAAAGTGTAACTAAATTAGATAACAAAAATCGACAATAAAAGTAAAATTAAAATTTAACTTTAATTCAGTTTTCTGTCAAAAGATTGATTGAAATTATTATATTTGAATGATTGCACGATAACTTACACAATAAGAGATCACTATTTCTGTAATTTATAGACCTGGAGAGAAGATAAATGGACCTTTCTAAAAATTTAGTTTTTCGGTTACGACCATCAGTTTTATCGATTCGAGGAAAAAGCATCAGTAATAGAGACGACGCTGAGTTTTATTCCGGATGGAATAAATATTCAAAAGGTACAGCGGCTAACAAGATGCATCGATCTGGTTACCAAGTGCAACGTTGCATTTATTGTTCTTGCAATGGAATGATGCAGAAAAGAAGTTTATTCGTATTTGGTAATATTTTAACGCGCGAGGAATACATGACCAATATTATATATTATATACATATATTTTAATTATATTACGAACATTTTTATATAAAAACTTTTATAAATATTTTCATATAAAAATTGTAAAGTAAGTAATAAATTAAAGAAGTAGAAAATAATATAACAAAAATAAAATTTTAATAATATATAGATAACATAAAAACATAAAAAAATGTTGCAGAGTGCGTTTAATATTTTTTTTGTAATTCCTGAAAGGAATTGTTTGAGATGCGTACATCTCATTCTTTTTCTCTAAATGGACTTAAAAAATATATACAACCGATTGTCTTGCTCACCTCGCCAGCTCACTTTGATCGGACACGTGATTGTCTGATTTTTAATGAGATACGCATTCAGTGCCGTCAGGCTTGGGCTTGTTCGTAACGTACCCTCATCATTTTTCCACACATACGTAATCGCTGTCTGCTCATACGATACTGAAAAATAAAAATGGAGATGATATTACCTTGAACAAAAAATGCGTGTTTAAGACAACGTAATTATTCTTTTATATCATTCAGATATTCAGATATCCGAGAGCTATTTTAATTACTCACTGCTCTCGATTGCGAATGAACACAATGGGTCGTCAAAAGGGAAGATATTAAGTCTACCCTGGCAGGATAGGATAAGATGACGCCTGTAAAATGATAACGATTTATTTGCGAAGAGAGTTTTCAGCTAATGAAGAAAAGGAAATTAAAAATGTGTCCAATATTGATTCAAGTTATTCAAGAAAGTCCATAAAGATGTTCCTTAAAACTTTCGCCATAATCTTACTAATTTCTTTGTAAAAAAGTAGAATGATAATCTTTTCGAACATTTCATATTTTAAGAACATTTAGCTTGCGCATAAAAGGTCAGATTATATCGATGTTTTATGTACCGCATAAGATAGTTGACGGTGCCGTTGCGGTATATCCGCAGGGCGAAGTGAACAGGGATGATGGGATCTTTGAAATCTCCATGCATTATGAAATACGTATCCGGCAACCAGATATCGTTGTAATGGTGAATCGCATTTAAAAACTCATATTTGGATTTGTTGCTATAACGCAGTCGTGGATCGTACCACTGTTGCTGCAGTAAGAATTCCACCTCGTATTTCTGTGAAAGCAGAAAAACGATCGTAGCTCACATAATCTTGATTACATTTTAATGTATGATTTTATTATGATGCATGAAGAGAGAAATCATGGAATTGTCGCAGTTAGTTCGCAGACTTTTACTTCCTAATTACAGATTTCTCATGTAAGTATAAAATACATTTTCACAAATACACATATAATTAAATTTACCAAAAAAGTTGAATTCCGTATTTCTGATTTACGACTATTCTTTAATTCTTATCTCTTTAATATCATAGTAGTTAAGCGTTGTATTATTTTTTCTATTAAGATATAAAGGGAAAATACATAATTATATTACCAGACTGGACTCGTCAGGAGAAGCTAAGCTCAACAGCAATACGCTCACGTTTACGGTCAATGTTCCTGAAACAACGAATTAAGTTTAATTTTACCTGCTACATTCCAGATCGTCCGATCGATCACGTTGCAAAGTTGTTAACACCCATTTTTCTAAATTAATATAAGAGGTATTTTTGTAAGGCTACAACAACAACAGATTCTTCAATGCCTTTAATAAACAAAAGGAAACACGACCGGGCATTACGGCAAACATACAGCGATATCTTACAATCGACTCGTGCTATAAGGGCGAGGATTCTGTGTTTAGTAAATTATTCCATTACTTGTATAAATAGTCTGCTGCATGTATTTAACAGGCTTCGTATTTTTTATACACAGGAGAAAATCATTTAGAATAATTTGTAGTTCCCGTATTAAAAACATTGTACCAAAGAGAATGCTAGTGTTGCAAATCATAGATCGATCGGTGCAAAATTTTTCTCATTGCATGGAAATCGTCTAGTGCGATTTCTATACAATTTTAAGTATGTAGAGTGCAATCTTCTATAAAGATATATTAGATTTCTCTATGTGCATGTATGTCTGTATTTGTTATATAAATCAACATAAGCTGAGATGCTGTTAAGGAATACGCTGAAAGCTTTCTTCGAGCCATGCTGTGCACATGCTGCTATTTATTTGGAAAGAAGCTGAGGTCGTGATTAGGACTTGGATTGGCTTACGAACTTTGTCCTAAAATGATTATTGTACCTTTCTCTCTTCCTTTCTCTCTCTTTCTCACACACACACATACACTCTCTCTCCCCCCTCTCCCTCTTTTTCTTTCTTACTTTGTCTTTTTCAGGATATATTAAGTTTTTCTAGATTTCAAACGCATTTACTCAAAACCTCGCAACGAGTGCACAAAGTTGCGCAATATGTATTGCAAAAAATACCATCTAATCATTAGTCATTGCCATCACCTATGAAAACAAATTGCGAACATTATATCTTGCTAGAAAATACGTGTATATGTAAATCTACCACTACCAAGAATGTCATAAAACTCATATAACATTTACTTTGATACTACGTTGTTACATGACAAATAATGTGATACTAGACAAACATGTTCCATTCCTCGATGGTGGAAAACTAGACAATGTATTTTAGGTAAGAGAAATGGGGGTCATTCTACTATAAAACAGCGCGTACTCTGTTTGGAGACTATACATTTGTCTTTGGATACATCTGTCCCTGGATACAACATCCACATAAATGTCTCAATCTATCAAGAAGGACTAGAGTTCCAACCAGCGATCCGACTGTTATCACGTGTAAACACAGCAAATTAAGACCGATATGTTTACTGCGAAAAAAGTAGAGAGAATGGAGTTGCACCCCGAAAATAGGATGTGATCTCGCCAAAATTTGTGCTGATGGTCTTATTTTAAAATTTAAGTACTATCCTTTGTAAACGGAAAACCGATGAATCTTTAAATTTATAAATGTGATATTTCTGTATACTAAAGAGATATTTTTCAAAGTTTCACAATCTTTCACTCTTTCATAATCTCACAACAATGTTTATATTATACGTTTATATCAATCACGTAATGCGCGCAATAAACTTAAAAAAAAAAAAAGAAGAAACAATATCGGCATGCATGTTAGTGATTCGTAAACACGCCGGTGTTCATTCAATTCTTCATAAGAATGTATCATGATGAGAACATTAATAATTCGATATATCGAGGATGAAAATCAAACCACCTTGATTGAAATGTAAAACCAGCGATTGACAATCGAGTTATCTTATATCGCGTTGTAATAATCGAATTTAATTTATGGCATTTGTGACTGATGGAAACAGATGGTATGTTGTATCGCAATAATGTTTATTTATCGGATCCGATTTCATGCCGGTTCTTATTAATAAATATATATATGTTTGTCTCGTGATTAAAAACAAAATCGGATCCGTTTACAAAATCACGAAAATTTTTCACAGAGAATTAATTCGAAACCCAATATACGCTTAATAAATATGCAACGCGAGTATCTAAAAAGTTCAGTCGGGCATTATTGGAAAAATTCTATCATATATGGAAGCGAAGGAAAATTAATCCGATGTGTATCGATTTCTCCGTAAGAAAAGGTGTGTGAAATCGAATAATATTGTGAATAATATTTGAGAGCATTGTGATTAACCCTAGAATCCATGACTGGGGTCGATTTCGACCCCAGGCGAACTTTGAACTACGCTCCTGAGCTAGCGAGTGACATTATCGACTCAGGACCTGAACCATAATTCATTTCAACTTTCTAAAAGTAGGGTTATGTCGGGCGCAGCGTTAGTTGTTCGCTAGCAGTGAAGTAGCACAGTCGTAAAGCGGGCGTGGGGTCGATATCGACCCCAGTCGTGACTTGCCGTTTGAGTTTCGTCACGGTAAGCTAATTTTATTTTTTCGCTAGAATCAATATATATCATGTATTATTACGTAATCTGAGCATAAATAGTCATAAATATTATTTAAGACGAAATATCACACAATTTAGTCGGTAAAAATCCCGTTGCCTAAGAAGATTGACATTTCGCAGAAAATGGCTGGGCGATATAATGTTTCATTTTTTTCATATTTTTTACTATTTTGTATCAAATAAAAATGAAATAATACTTAAAATACAATTTTTTATGGTTTTTTCATCGACTTTTTCCGTATTTCAACTTTGCGAATTTCTTCATCTTTATAGTCCCAAATAAATATACTTTTTGAACAGAACATAGCGATGACAATTTTTTTCTAATAGTCTAATGTGTCCTCTTTAAAACCCCGTTTGAAATTTTAAAATCGGTTGATTACAAAAAAAGATACAAATTTTTGTTTAAAAAAAGAGGTTTTTGCTGATTTTCTGCGTTTTTCAGTCTTTAAATGGATTTTTCACTAACTAAACTTGAGTAAAATTAAATTTACCGTATACCATTCTCTTCGTTATTAAAAAACGAAGAAATTCATGTAGGTTTAAAGGCCCTTTATTTCTGTAGGACCGGTTTTACGATCAAATAAAGCGTGGGGTCGATATTGCCCCCAGTCATGGATTAGAAGGTCAAAAAAATGTATCATGGATTCTAGGGTTAACAAAAATCGGTAAATCGGAGTGAAATTGGGAGATGTCGAATGAATGAAAAACGATTTGATGATTGTGCAGGTGAGGGGAAAAGTCCGCTGCCACAACTAAACATACACATCACAAGTCACAGTCCCACAAATACGAGCTCTTAGTACCAACGACGATTGCATCTCTCTTTTTCTTAAATGAACGTTGGACAATTAAACATCAAGTTCGTTCATTCACATCATCATTCCTTGATCGTTCAACAATGTTACCATCAATGCTTTGTCCAATTCTCTTTGTGCATATATGTATGTAAGTATACATATACGTGTATGAAATTATTAAAGTGCTAAAATTGTGTGTAAAAGTTTAGATCGACGGTATAACGGATTGTCGATACAGTTAATGCATTTGGCAGTAATTAAACATTAATACTTCAACATTCACACATTCGTATACAACTTTCCGTTCTATTATATAATAAAAATCATTTTAATACAAATTAATCGTATTAAAATAGCTTTTGTTCATAAAAATGCTGACGTTTTTAATAATATGGTAGATAGTATAAATATTAAATATTCTAAACGTAAACCACCTAACAAGAGAACTATATAATGTGTCACCCTTTGATTTGACCTAATTTTTGAAAGTAGAGCATCGAAAAGAACAACACATATTTTGCCGTTTGCTCTTAAGACACCAAAATTGGCCGGAACACATGGTTAAAAGACATTAGATTGTTATAGATTCAAATCCCAGTAATGACAAACTTTTGCATATTATTTTTACTTCGCTTATAAATTTCTTTAAAATCAATTTGTTGTGTTTTTCTAATTGAAGATGACACGAAAGATATATATTTTTTTATATAAGCGAAATAAAGAAATACAATGCAAAACAAAATGGAAAAGAGTATGTCATTACTGGAATTTGAATTTGAGATTTAGAATTTTACGTGTGTTTCAACTAATTTTATCGTTTAGCTTTTAAACTAATAAGTATCTACGACAAAATATATGTCGATATTTTTTCTATACCTGACCTGACCTACTGACAAAAATTTAATAAAATTAAGGGATAACGCATTATGTGGTACTCTTGCAAGTATAATTCAATAAAACATTAAAAATATATGTTACATATTATACGTCTCTTAATGAGAATAAAATATTGTGATATGTGTAATTTGTTAATGTAATTTATAATATCTTTTTTAAAGAATAAAATATAGTGACGTGTGTAATTTGTTAATAGAATTATTATAATCTTTTATGTACAGTCGAATCTCCATATGTTTAACATTCATATTCTTCATCGCCTCTGTATTCTTCGCATTTTTAATTTCCGCATCCTTAACATCTTCTTTTGCTTTGCTCTTTTGCTTGCATGAATTAATTTGCATTTGCAATATGACTTGTAGCTGCATTATGAATATACTTTTTGCATTTAAAAGGAAATGCGTATTAGATGTTAGAAAGAAAAAAAAAGATAAAACGTAGAAGAGCTCAACTACAAAAAACAAACTATATATGTATATCCATTACATCGTCTGTGCAATAATATTTTCTTTTTGCGGATATGCTATTGGCATTTGAATTGGAAATTGAGCGGAAGTATTAAAAACAGAGAGGTTGTTTGATCTTTGTATATCAAGAGAGAGTACGGAAATTCGACTGTATATTATATCAAGACATGTGTATATACTGCCTGACCGGCTTGTAAACCTTCGCGCAGAAGATCGATACACGTCCTATTCAGTACTTAACTCGATCAATTGTATCAACTATCAATAAATAATTTAATTATTAATCAATGATAATGTTAGTGATCACATACTTAAATGTTTTAATTATTTTTAATTAGCAGACAACCTTTTTAATTATATCTCACCAAAATTGATTATAGAATCCCTATTAAATTAGAAAGTTAAATTAAAATTTAACAATTAAAAAGTGATTTTAAAAATTAAAATACAAAATATATTATTTTAGAAGTATCATTTTTTTCCTTAAATGGTCTAGTTTTCAAACTGTTAACATTGCATGCAATTGTTAGCAAATTCGATTTGCATGATTTGCACTTTTCACGAATGTATTTATAAACATTATTTTATTTGTTTATAAATATGCAAACAGAAAAATACATATTAACGCAGTAATATTCTTTTGTCTTAAAAAAATTAATTTCTTATAGTTACTTCTAACTAATAAGTTATACTTCGTATATATATATATATATATATATATATGTTTAACAATAGATTGTAAATCTTTTAATCTCTATTACAAAGTAGTACGACAAGTGGTTAAATTGAACAAATCGAGCCGATACTGAATAAGTCGAGCAGATTAATTTAAGTGGATTAATATCACGATAACGTTGGATAATCTTCTCTACAGATGATATTGTGTAGTAACAAGAAATAAATGTTAAAGGACGGACCGCGAAGGTGAGTGCGGAGGTTTTGGTGCGACGTGTAGTGGTTATTGTTCTGGTTCTTGTACTGGTTCTTGGAGTCGATAGAGGAGATCGACGACTGGTTTGTCAAGCCGGTAGTGTCACCAGGCCATCTCATTCCGCAGCAGAAATCAGCATCTGTAACACCCAATAGCCCTTGCGCACGTCGTCTTATCCTCACTTTGTGTGCATTCTTCGTCTATTCCATTTCAATATACGGCTTCAAAAAAACTGCTTAAGCATATCCAATATATGTCCTCTGTGTTTTATTGTTTTTCGCTTATGACTAGATCTCGATCTATATACGGATTACATTTCCGATAATTATTCAACGAAGAAGAGAGTTATAGCTCATTAAACTAAAAGTTACATATATTTTTACTCCATTTCTTCTGTTTATTATTTAATTAACATATCGTGATACATTTAACTAATATGTCGATACAATCGTGTGATATTGTTTATGGGAAACAGTGTTCTTAGAAGAATGATGAGAAATTGTGTAAGTTTTTCAGTGTATGTTTTTATAACACCAAACAACCCTTGCCCACATCCCATCTTTTCTTAAAAAGCCCGATTTTTCACAATCATAAAACAAATTAATGTCGTGTAATTTTCCTTTATTCAATTTTTGTGCGTATTAACGAGGACAACGAGGTATTTATTATTAGTGAAATATAGGGTGTTCGTTATGTCGTTTGCAATTTTAGAAACTTTAAATAATCTGAGAAAAAAGAGAGATTGAAAACTGTAACTTACGATAAATAGCGAAATTTTTTTTCTCCGTAAAAAGGCCATTTCAAGTATTTAAAGTAAAATCGTATAATTTTTTCTTTATAGCACATCAAGAGACAAATTCAACAACAGGAATTTTTATGAAGAAGAAAAATTTTTGTTTTTCTTTTATTGTGTAAGTTATAGATTTCATAAAATAGATATAATTTTGTCTGTAACTTTTTTATTATTGGAAGTGCCTTTAAAAATGTACGATGTCATTATAACACATTACTCTATTGGTATCATACAGAATTCAGCGGATTGAGGACATCTCGCGAAAGAATCAGTAATCTATGTTATCGCATGACATGTATGAAGCCGTTTCATGATGAAGTCTGAATAATGCAATCTTATAGCTGCAGCTCCCTGTTTCTTGGATATATTCGGTTTTCTTCCAATCGACAATTTGGTTTATGCACTTGTATATTGTGATACTTTTGTCACATTTAGACTTGATTGTCTGTAAATTACAATATACAATTTCCAGTATGTATAAATTATATATCTTTTTTGAAAGGAAATTATGCATTTTCTTTACATCAACTAGTTTATCTTATTCTTCTGTGCATAAAAAAATTAAGTTACGGTTATAATAACATTAATAATAATTTATGAAGTTTTTTTACGTCATACATTTACCATGGCAAAATTTTATTAAAATCAGAATTTGCGAGATTTGTTTGTTATAGTTAATTTAATATTATTATTAATTCGGTATTACATGATGAACGTAATTGAGCAATGATTAATAAAAATTAAATTAAAGTGGAATGTGTTAGATAAGATTAAGTCAGATATTAAAAATTTAATTTACAGTATAATTTTAATGACAGGCATATTTCTATACGAAAATTTCATATTTTTGTCACAGATCTGATAGTGTTAATAATTCATAAACTAAACATTTTGAAATTAAGAGTATTTTGGAATTATTTTTTGTTTCAAAAAATATAATTAAAGATTACTGTTGAAGTAGTCGCCAAAATTATCGGAATTATATCGAGAGACGCATTTTTGTCATATCACTGTATTTAAATATAGACTACATAGTTCTATATATAAATACCTAAAATTAATTTGTTTATGACTGCAAATGGTCTATCATAATTAACTCACTTAATTATCGAAGTATTATTAGTGTCTGATTAATGTCTATATTATGATATAGGATATATTATGATGGATGGACGGATTATTATTAGACTCTTCGTATAATGTAATGGCAGCATTAAATGCACGTGTCAGTCCTGGTGTTAATAACTAGGTGCACCATTTCCATATATGCAAAAGCGGTTGTTACTCAGCCATGGCTGTAACCAACCATGTCTATGATATGTCCATGTGTCGTTAATAGCATTCCGACCCTACAGAACATTATAAATATGCCATTTGACGTACCTCCAATCTTACTCAAACATATTCCAATGTTATAGGTCTGCATTAGTATAGATCAAGATGCATTTTGAGCTCAATTTTCTTTAAGTTCGAATCAACTTAAAATGGATGAGAGAATCGTTCCGAGACTAGCATATCTAAATATCGAAAAACTTTTTCCTCCGCGAACGTGGAATTCGAATGGGAGTAGGGAGGTGATGAATTGTTCGCTCGAATTGCGCCTTGCTCTCTTACAATTTTTATCACGCGTCCTATCTTTTTTTCCTCTTTTATTTCCGTATTTTTAAATCTTTTTCGCACTTCCCTTACGTCATATTTTTAAGAATACGTCGATTTACAAGAAGTACTCTTACGACGAGGGGTGAGCAGTGAGCTGTGGTTGTGTGGTGCTGTGTGGTGGTAGCGGTGCCGGTGATGTTCGAGGTGCTCTGGATGGTCGAGGGTCATTTGGATACAGAGGTGAGGGGTGTAGTTGCCTTGATTTTGGCAGTGGGATGGGAGCCTCAGTGTACCTTGGACCGGCGGCAGAAGCCGCTTGTCGTAACGGTTCGCTAGCAGCAAGGTGTCCAGAATCTCCTTGTCCGATTTTCCCTCCTCGAAGCTGCAACACAATGCATTGTAGGTATACCCGGTAAGTACCTGGCGAGTTTACGGTAATTTTTCTGCAAACTTCCAGTAGATAATCTTCTCTGTCTCGATATACCTCAAAAATCGTTTCGCTCGATCGCGGCGAAATAGAAAGAATATATATTGCAGTATATTTTACGAAAATTAATATTGTTGGTTGTTTCAAAATCATTAAAGAAGGTGTGGGACAACCTCACGGGATTAAAAGCATCATTCATCTTGAAGTGATCGATGCTAACGTTGTTAAAGTTTACTCTTCTAGATACAACGTATTCATTTGTATTCATTTGAAACATATGTACATGTAGAAATCTACTAATTCAATAAAAATTCAGCTTTCTAAAGCACTATACAAAACTGCATCTAATTTCACCCACATTACGATATAACGGGTATAAGATGCTACCAAAGAACTTTACCATCGGTCTACTTGTGCTAATACATTCAATGCAGTAGTACAATCGAAACATTCGTGATATCGATATACATGATTCCCTTTCTATCACCAGTTAATGACGTCAGTAAAAAAACATACTGATAATTCTATTTTCGATCCATAAAATCCTATGATTACATGTTTCTACATGCAGAGAAATCCTATCAAAATCGTAATTTCCATCTCGCTCTCTTTGACTAAAATGCACAATAGAGTAACATGATTGTCAAGTAATCAGTTATAGATATTTATAAAAGCGCTTTAGACTAGGAAGGGGGAAGTATACTTGGACCACATCAACACAATATGCGATTATGTTATGTATCGCGTAGCCGATCGATAACTATTAGCCGCACAACTGAAGGGTTTGAATTAATATTACACTAAATTAAATGGGACGATTTTTACGATAAAAGAATCGTAAAAGTGATATATTGTATTTCCTTCAAATTTGTATTGTATATACATATACAAGAATAAGATTATTTTCACGAAAATACCTATTATCCGCAATTTCGGATAACTGGAATTTATTCGGGCGTCCGTCAATCATTGCCAGTTATACTATCTTCCTTCCTCTCTAATGAGCGGAACATGGATGTTCTACGACAATACAATTGGATTTAGCTTCTCGACACATCATCGCTCTCTCCCATAATATACACGTATTGTTTTCTTCCTCAAACCTCTCCGGGTCATAAAATAACGTATCGCGATAGTAGGATGATCGAGAAGCTAAGAAACAATTCGTATATATGGCGATTATCTTAGTTGTGTGCTATACGTACATGTCTTCGGCACGAGCGAGGGTGACGAAAGTAAAGGCAAGTGTGAGGATACAAAGGGAGGTGAAGATGAGGGAACTCGCGAAGGAGGTGAGAGACAGCGAGAGGATGGACGAGAGGCGGCCGCCACCACCCGCACACCGCCCTAGCGCCACCCAACCCATTCTATGTCATCTGAAACAGAAAAAATAGTATCTTAACATTAAAAGATATCTTAATTGATAATAGAAGTTTATTTGAATTTATGTTTCCTCCTTTCTCTTTTTTTTTCACAAAAATAAAATTTTTGATAAAACTCTTATGGCCAAAACTAAAATATAATACCATCTTTATTTTTGGCCGTACAATATATTACTATTTCGCGCTGTTTGCTTAAAAGAATTTTCTCAGAATAGGCTAGCTTTTTAGGCATCTCATAATGTCTCATTAAAACTGCATGCTTTTAGTTTGTAATATTATTAATATCGCGATATAATACCAATGTTCTCTAGTACCAGTTTTCGAATGCAACTTTGTTGACAAAATTTAATTTTTAATGTTTAATTAATCTTAAAATGATAACAACTTATTTGCTTCATAACAAACCAAAATTAAATATCTTCTAATCTCAAAATCCTAAAAAACATTTTTGTGCATTTTCAGTTTAATTAAAACTCTTCTTCCTAACCAGTGATTAATAACGGAACTCGCATTTAACTACGGTTAGCAGAGAGCAACGTTTAATTGCGTTCTCTCACATATACATGAGATAATGTTTGCGCGCAATTGCTTGGCATTTCAATTTACAATGGTCTGCTTATTTGTGGTAAATTAATGTGTAATATATCATGTCATAATTTAATGTTGTCCTGAGAATGCCTTTTCAACGTACTTCTTTCAATCTCAGTTTATACTTGGAATATTTTTCATACGCGGTAAATTAGTGTATTAACAAGTTGCAAAATAATTAATATATATCATTTTTAGCTATATTATACTCAATATGTACGTGATGCTACAGACAATATATTATTAAATTTAGATATATCAATTAAAATTTGAAAATATAATTTTTGTGTAGATTGTGTAGATAGACAAATTGTTTTGTAGATTATTTCAACGGGCTAAATTAATTATAATATAGTCTTCGTGGATTCTCTCGTATTAGAAAAACTTTAGCTTAAAGAGATTGCTGTACCAATCTATTTAGGAATGAAATTCGTGTTTCAATATTGATGATGTTGTTAGAGCTACACGATGCAGTTATACACAACTATCACGTTCTCAAGTTAGTGTTTGTGTAACAACTGTATTTGAATTTAAACCATACTGTTTACACGAAACATGATGCATATACATGATTTATATGTAAATATCATAAAGACGCTTTTGCAAGATATAAATTACATGAAAATCTAGTTACATATATTTTCTCATGTGACAAGAATAGAGTTTTTTATGCTCCTTCATTTATATATAAAAATTACACATGATATATACATATACATAAATATACTCATGCATTGTAATTATAATATATACATATAAATAATAAAGAAAGCACTTATATAAATAAGATCGTCACAAAGATCAATAACACTTCGATTAAGCCAAAGCGAATTCTGCCACATTAAAATCTACTTTTCTATTTTTCATTATAAATAAGATTGTAATGTAGGAAAGGATAGAGAGCCACCAACTCGGTATCATTCAGCTATAGATGTTGACACAGCGAAAAAAAACGCGGTCTAGAGCACGCGGCTATAAGAAAATTATAACCAACGGCCGATTGTGCGTGTGCCATGCTGTAATAATCGTACTTGTGTATGTACGTGCCATCCCAAAACTGAAGTGACACACTTAAGAATATGTGTGAAATTGTTAAATATTGAAGCGACCGATGAAGGGGCGTTATTCAGAGAGTCAAGTGTACAGTCAAGGGTGTAACTGTAATATCGTCCATTCGGATTTACTGTACCTTACAACGCATTAAAATTTATACGGACTCTCGCATGTCGATAATACTTAATATCTAATCTATAATATTGTAGTCAGATTCGAAATGACAGTAATAATAAAGATTGATGAAGACATATGAGTAATAGTCTATAAATAATGTCTATAAATAATCTATAAATGCTCAGGAGACATATAATAATTATTATTGTCAAATAAATAAATAATAGAGATTGTTATATATTGCTGCTCATGTAAATCATCTTATATACATATATATACGCATTATCAATAAAGTTTAAAAAGTTTTTTTTTTTTTTTTTTTTAATTAAAACAAGTTACAAATTTTACTGAAGCAACCAATTTTGAATAAACTTTCTCGACTATATCTGACAAATAATTTGCCAGATATAGTCAAGAAGGTTTATTCATTATTGTATTTTATTCACTGGCGAAGAAAATCTTCTATTTGTTAACTAATTTTGACAAATGTTAAAATCTATTTTTAATGTAGAACTGTGAAACTATTAAATACCTTTCCCCAGTGTAAACATAATTTAATTTTACTTTTTATATTCAAGATTTTTTATTTCCGAAAGGATTAAAGAATATTTCATATAAAATGTTACAGATCTAGAAAAAATATGACATGCACACAATGCATTAATAAGATGTATATACAATTTCTATAAAATTCATTTTTATGAAATATATTAACATTATTTTATTTAATATTTTCCAAATAAAATTATATAATTTTTTAGGGACATTTTTTCCACAGAATTCGATTCGCTAGTCGCTCTGCATATAAAAATATTAAGATCAAAATCTTAAGACAAAAATCATTAAAAAATTAATAGTGTGTATGAAACGCTTCATATTTTATTCCGAAATATTTAGATATATACCCGAAATTCTTCAAATTTTAATTTCAGAGTGTAATGTACTCTGATTCAATAATTTTAAAACCACAGAAAGAATGCAAGGTAATGCACATTTTACAAATAGATAGAATATTTTCATCCCTCTATACATATCGAACAAATTCCTGCGCCGCGTCGGTTAGAAGCGTTATAACAGTGACACATTGACATCATTGTACAAGAGAAAAGAAAAGGGAACATCGTGAGCAGTGGAGTGGGCAGTGGCAGTCAGACCGGCGGGCGTCCACGCTGGTATAAACGCTACCAGCGTACAGCTGATGCCATCCGATCAATACGGAGCGTTGCGGCATGGAACATTATAGAGAGTACGTCACATGGCTTAACCTGTTCCATTCTGAGAGTCCGTAAGCGATTCGTTTCCACGCTTCCCACATGCTTTACATTTTGCGTGGCCTCACAAATCTCAGCCCGTGTCCTGTTTTTGCCTATATCAACCGGCCCTCCGTCGTCCGAATAAATACATAAGCATGCGCGCGCGTTACACACACACACACACACACAACGCGCACGCGTGCTCTCAAAAATTGTTAAGATTGAGACATTTTTTAAATGTCTTTATAAGTTTCTTCGATATTGGTACTATAAAATTAATTAACATAAAGCTGTAGCGCTAACAATAAAGATACTTTGTGCTTTTCGAACTATATTACATAAAGACTCTTTATTCTTCTAACTTATTATTTGGCAATGAGAAAACTTGATTAGTCTACTAATCTCGCCAGGGAAGCACTTGACCGTTTAGTTGTCGAGCAATGATCGCGGGGGTTCTGCGCGAATGAAAGGAATTGAATTCAACTGTTTAATCACATCGTAGCACGAGGTACATTAGCAATGAGAAATCACGCGAACCCAAAAGGACGAGCAAAGTAAGAAATAGGTGAGGGGCAAGGTTGTACGCGGTTAATGCGGTATAAACTTAGAAAGGAAATGAAAATCGACGAAAACGATGTTAGTAGAACAAGTAAAAGATGTTAAAGACGTGTAATTGTGAAAGAAAACATGATTTCAAATGGTAGAATATGCATAAATGTAAATTGAAGATCTTGTTAAGCTGAAAAGGAAACCTCGGTTGCACAAAGCTTCAATATCTTTTTCAAAAATTTAAAATGTTATATCATTTAAAGCATTTCTTGAAAAATGACCTTTAAATGTTTTGCATTTTCAAAAGAAAATCTTTTAAAGCGATAAACATGCTGTGATAAAAAATAGCAATAAAAATAAAAGTTGACGTTATTATTATTCAAAGAAAGTCATATGTCTCTGCATAAAATAAAAATGGTAGTAATTTATACGCTTTATGATAGTGCACTATTATTTTAATGCATATGCGTAAATATACCTTAACGTGAGATATGTAGCTGGTCGCAATGGACGAGGCAGGCTTTTGCTATTCGTTGTGTAGGTCTGTCTCTTCAACTTTTACAAGCACTCATCCTCGCGCACGGCCCTCTTCATCCATTTTTATGAATGGAAAGCTCTTCAGCGTTTCATTGTCATCTCAGCATAGACAAATTATTGTCACCATCTAAAAAACAGTAAGTAATGCCGTCAGTTACGATACAATCTTTATAGGATAACAATCGTGGATGGGGAAAACTTTTTGCGGCCGAAGAGCATCATAATCGTGTGTTCTTCAAATCCTCGCTGTGATAAGAATTATAAATACGCACCAATATTTTATTTAGCATAATTATATGAGAATAAAAATCATAAAGAGAGAGAGAAGGGAGGGAGGGGAAGGAGGAAGAGAATTATATATATTTTCAATTACTAAAGTATTTAATATAAAAATTAATAAAAGAGGCATAGTATGATTTTTGTGCAAGTGATATACTAACTTTATAAGTAATTTTAATTAAGAATTAAAAAATAAAATATATTAATTTAATTCATTTACGATTTCTTGACAGCATATGTATTGTATGTAAAGGTTGTTTCAAAATAAATCCGTAGTCATGTTCACTGTGAACTAATTTATAATCAGGGATCATAGATACAAGATTTGCATTGCGACCATATAAGCTGATAATGAGCCACGAAAAGTATTAATATGAGACCAAGACCAAGGAACGCTCGGAGATGTAACAATGAACCTTAATCTTGTAACTCTGTAAGAAATGCCGTAATCTCTAATTTGCTTTTATGTTTTCTTGAAAAAATTTTTTTCTAAAAAGTATTGAAGAGATGAGAATTACGCAAATTGCATTCATCGTTCCACATACTTTCATAAAAGTTAAATTTAATTAGCGTTTAACCATGAATTATCGTCTAGATCTTTTTGTTAGTGATTAGTTGACTTTGTAGCGCGTAAACGCTTTTTAAGTAAAATCTAATAAGATTTCGTTGATCAAATATAAGTTAAAATTAAAAAATAAGCGCTATTATTAACTTACTATGCTATACTGGTTATGGCAGATTAAAAAAAAACTTTTATTAAATAACAACTTCTTTGTTCATTAACCAACTTTTAAATCAATTGCTAATAGCGAGATTCGTATTTCGTATTTAAGTTGTGGATTTTTATCCCTCCTGGAACAAAGTACAAAGAACAAACTTGCTTTTAAGTAGCAAGATAATAACAAGACTACATTTTTTAAACAATACAGTACTATTTATCATCATATTTAATATATAGACAACAGATAAAAACTATTTTATTATATTATAAATTTAAGTATAAATTAAAAAACCAATTAAAAAATTAACTAGTTAGTCGGTTCTGTTTCATCTAAAAATTTTATTTAATCTTGATTATTTAGCTACTATCTTCTAAATCAGATCGGCCAGTTTATTTCTTACTCGGAATAAGTTTATGACAGAAACTAATTTCCGGAATCTGATTTCTTCAAGGGTACATGGTATAAAGGTATATAAATAATATTTACAGTTTAATATCTGTATCTTCTTATTTCTAATGTTTTCTTGCACAATCTGTGTGTGTTCCTTCACTACTTCATTTTATCTTTTGGTTTCTTATGTAATGGAATGAAAATGTTATTTTGTTTGTTTGAAAATGCTGTGCGCATGATTGAAATAATATTTTCGCTCTATGCATACACTGTTAAAATAAAAAAGAGGAATAAGAGGAAAAGATAAGAATAAAGAAATTTCCTGACCCCAATATGGAAATTTAATTTTGAGATTGTTATCAAGGTATAATTTATCATTTTATACATTTAAATATGCTAAACTTTAATTATTTTTTCTTGTATAATAATTGTCATAAAAATATTTTAAATGAATGAGATAGATAATCATATACTTATTGAAAAGTTTTTTTTAATTAATTGTAAGTAAAAACAAAATAAATGTGCAAAATTATATTATATAGACACATAAGGGAATAAATTTAACCTTAAAAATACAACACTATTGAAAATAAATTGCTGTCAAACGTAATTGTTCGATGTGTAGGGTAAACTCGGGTAA